AATATTATCGATTAGCTTCACATTTCAAAATATACATGAGAAAATTATAAAATAATAAAAAAAATATTCAGAAAGCACACTTCAAAAGAATTTGGGAATCTCTAGATTTGCCTATTCGATTTACTAATTCTTATAGAACTCCTGGGCATTTTCTTCTTACGAGAAGCAAGTTCATCTCGAGACCATATATGAAAATGACAGATCTTGCTCAGTTTCTGTTGCCAATCTGTCAGATTCCGTCAGATTATGTCAGGAGACTCTGTTTGGTTTCTATCACTAATTTGTTGACATAGTATGTCAGTGGGCTTTGTTATATTTTTGACAGCAGTTTGTTAACATTGTCTGATAGTACAAACTCTGTGTATAATTTATTGCCTTTCTGCAATCAAAAATTGGTCGCAAGCTCTGCTCAAAATCTGCAGACTTTGCTATCAGGATCATTTAACATCAGAAAAACAAAACAGAAGATAGGATCCCTCACGTTTCACATGGAAAAATAACTCTGGTAAAATTGGTTCATTTGATTGAGATATATGTTATGTCTTATGATTCTGAACAAATGTCTCTACATTGTCATCACATTCACATAAAATCAATTTTTAGTTTCCAAAATGCTATAACATTTATAATATAAAAAATGTGTCAAAGATTCAAACATATTTATTTCTATCAATTTAAAAAAAAATGGAAAAAAGCTCGGTCGATAGGGAATATATTATAATTTATGAAACTATTTGAATTTTTTGTTTCAAGATAACCAAAATGGCGGAATCGTGACCATCATTTACCGGTGCACCTTTTACGCGGATTGCTGTATTTCTTTGCAAGATTAATATTTTTCAATAAAATTTGCACAAGTTCAATACATGTATTAATAAAGTGCCAAATTACAAGTGGATCATATTTATACTTTTCCCACAATCCTTGCTAAAAAAATCCTTACTTTTTAGATGGTCAAGTATTTCCCGCTTAATATAATTTGATGCTTTCTTTTATACGAGTATGTAATAGGTACACATACGCATATATATATATATATATATATATATACACATATATATATATATGTATGCGAGTAACCAGTCACATAAGACAAGGACAAGAATAAAAAAAGGACAAGGAAATTGATGTAAAATAAATATTCCAAATGGATTAATTAACATTCGACATGTTCACATTTTAGACATTCTGAGTACTAAAATTGAGTTTTATGGGTAATATTATCAGGGTTGAGTACTATTTAAGGGACCCAACTGTCTTCTTCCAATTTTAATGAGTTTTTAGTATGTTATTCTCCAGACAAAAATAAGCGACACGTATTTTTTTATATATGTGATCATATGCACTTTTAAGAGATTAAATATCCTTTAGAAAAAAATCAGTTTTTCTCTTTTGAAGCGAATATCGCTGGAACTGGTATATAAAGCACATAGAAAATCATAAACAATTAATATCTTGTAAACTATCGCGTTTTAAAACCATTCTTGCTATTATAGATTAATGGAAGGTGTATATGTTTACTATAATTTATTAAAACTTATATGTTGTCTAGAATGTCTCTTTATTATATACAGTCTTAAGTGTAAGAATCGGCTATAAATACTGGCTTGTTTCAAATCGTTATTAGTATTGAACCTTTCCTTTCTCTATCTTTTTATCTGTTAATTTTATATGAATGTGACAATGGAGACATTTTATCAGAATCACAAGAAGTATAACATATCTCAAATGGACCGATTTAATCGGGATTATTGTTCCCACAAACTTCTATAAGTAGACTGCCAACTTCACCTCTATCTTTGAAGACAACGCTGGGATGATATTTCATTTCTATTCGTTTTTGTTGTACGACAAATTTTTCAAGCCTGTTGATTGGCTATAGGATAGAAAGGATCTGAGAATCTTTCTGTTCTGTACACATTTGTCGTACGACAAAAACGTACAAATAAAATAGCATTTCTGGGCAGTGACATATTTGAGTTCTCTCACTCATATATGTATAAATTACATGGATAAATTCACACGATACACAGACAGGATACATACACATGGGAACTAGAACAAAAACAGCTCGGAATCAAATCATCTCTTTCTATTGCATTGAGTCAGCAATCTATTTATATAAGTGATTATTATCTGTGATTATTCTATATGAAATGTGCCTTTATAATCCACGCATCTAGAGAACCGGTATATTGTAAGTAAGATTGTTTTTAAATAATAACTTATTTTTAAATAAATAAATTTCAGATTAACATTGGAACTTTTCCTCTTCTTCGATAACAGTGTATCAATAACTAAAAAACAAATGTTTTTTGCTGAGCAAAAAACAAGAGAAGAATTTTTTGAGTTTAAAGTTTCATTATTTTTACGTATCAGTTAGTTGGAAATTTATCACGTTAATCAATGTCCATATTTAATACAGAGTTCCTGATATTGAGAGCGAGATGTTCCGCGTTGAATACGGTCGAGAACATCCAGTCATCGTGGCGGCACGCGAATTCGTCAAAAAAAGTATGGCCGGACTTAAGGCGCGTGAAGCAGCTCGCCGAGCTGAACAGGAATTCGAGAAGTTAATAGAAATAGAGGAGCAATTGCCGGAGAATCTGCTTTTAGACATACCTCTCGAGGAGGAGTTTTTACCTGAAGGTGAGATATCCTGGAGAGAAGAGGAAGACTTGTCTAAGATAAAACCCACGATGCGAGACGTATCAAGGCGCGAGGCACGTTATGAGTATCCTCCATTCGAACCAGAGGAGCTAGAGAGATTTTTTGACGTGGAACAGTATCCAATAAGTCCACCACGTGGACCACCACCTGGTCGCGAGCATCTCCCGCCGGAACTTTGGGAGCTAGAGGATCCTTGGGTATGGGGCGCACAGCCAGACATATCCGATCTCATTCGCTTCGAGAGCCCTTAATTCTTCGTCTACCATGTATATGATCTGGTAAACTTGTTTTCGTTTTTAAAATTGATCTAGGATATTCTACTATAAAAAAGTATACTCGATTTGATATGTTATCTCATTTTCTTTCGTAATTCGTTGTATTGTTCGTCAATTAAATTGTATTAAAATGATTTGCAGAAATGTGTACTTAATGAGAGGAATCAATGAAGAAAATGGATCGATAAATTTAAACATTTGTGAAACACGAAAAATCATCATTTATCAACATCCGTCTTGCTATTTATTATAAGAATCCATCATTTGAATTATTATAAGAAACTGTTTTATACAATACTTAAATATTCAATATTTAAATTTATAAATACTGTATTATGGAGTCAAATAAATATTATGGATTTTTAAAAAATATACTTGGTTCCCATATCTATTTTATCTTTCGAAAATTTTAATGAAAATAACAATAATAAAAATTTTTATATATTAAATGTTGATAAAAAACAAACTAATAATTCTAAAACTATGATTTATTTCTTTTATATCTTAATTTTGAGATATCATTTAACATAAGAAAGAAGTATATTAAAATATATTCATATTGTTTGGAAAAAGATCTAACAAACAAGTGAAATTTAAAGAAACTAGAAAACAAGTAATTAATATGCTTATCTTTTCATTATTATGTTATTGTATTTTCATGCCTAAAGTACTTTAGACTCTATTCTTTCATCACAACTTTAGCACGTGCTTTAATTTTTTAATAACATGTATACCATGAATTAAAGATTGCAGATAATATGTTTTGTTACTTAAGTAATTGTAACTTGTATAACAATGATAAATATGTCGATTAGGGGAGGCAACTCCAATGACCTTGATATATGTTGTCATGATTCTTAGTGATCTTCATTAAGTTTTAGCTGTCACTCGTTATTCATTAAAAAGTTGTTGCAAAAAAGTTCATCAATAAAACCTAACTTTTAAATACAACTGTGATGAAACAAATTTCCTGCTTTAAAAATATTTCCTTATGTAGGGTGCATGGAAAGTAATGATAAATCTTTCGCAGAATAAACTAAACTGAGAAGAAAAGTCCTTTACCATTTTATAATTTTAGCAATAGTTAATAAGATTAATTGCTAAAAATTGCCGAAAATTGATATTTTAATAATTTTTTACTCAAATACTATTAACTTTATAGAAAAACTGCAAGAAACAAAAATTGTTTATTTTCTTCTCAGAGAGATCCAAAAATTTTTTCAGAATTTTTTATCAACTTTTCAATACTGCACTTTTCTTATTTGTTATTTTTCTCATAAGAAAATACACTATTAAAAAATTCTGAAAAATTTTGAAAAAATTCTTAGAGTTCTATGAGAAGAAAACAAACAATTTTTGTCTCTTGCAGTTTTTCTGTAAAGTTGATAGTAATTGAGTAAAAAATTATTGAAGATTTCGACAATTTTCGGCAATTTTTAGTAATTAATATCTTGTTAACTATTGCGAAAATTGCAAAATGTAAGATAAAGGATTTTTTGACTTAGTCTGCTCTACCGGCCATAAAATATTTGGCAATTATTTTAGGATATCATGCATATTTCTTTTAATATAGTTTAATTTTGAGCTTGTCTTTCTTATTATAACGTTCCATTTTCTATTTTGAAAGATAAACTAAAAATTCCATTCGTGCACATACACAATTGTAGTGTTTAAAATTCTTGTTAGAATATCTGTTAGATATTCTAACAAACTAGAGACGAATAAGACTTGTACAATGAATAAGACAGGAAACCAGCACGCATCTACATTATTATTATATATAGTCACCCCTCAACTTTCTATTGTATCATGCAATAGCATAATGTTATAATGTATCACTTTGCGAAAGCGTCCAATAAATATTTCAGAAATAGAAAAGTGTTGGTTTAGTCAGACATGCTCTGACATCACTAAATTAGTAAACTTTGACAGTTCCAGACATCCTACAATTTCATATTATTTGCGCCGCGACTTACACAGTTAAGGAATCAATAACATATGTAGAGAGAGAGAGAGAGAGAGAGAGAGAGAGAGAGAGAGAGAGAGAGAGAGAGAGAGCGCGTGTCATTCTGTTGTAGTCTTACAATGAGAAACTAAGACGAATAATCATGCTAGAAAATTTTCTGCGAGAATATAACGTTAATCGGATATTTCTGTTTATCATGGGCCTTTGGCCATTTCAAAATAAGTCCATCAGAAATTTCTTACGAACTTTCTTCTTTCTGATCGAAATAAGTTATTGTCCCTTCGAGGTACGTATGGATCGATATATCAGACAGATACATCCAATTTTTATTTTTAATTTTAAATCTTATTTTTATAAAATTTAAGTATAATATATATATATATATACCACGTCGTTAGTAAGCATTATGTATGTTTCCTGTCATGAGAAGTTTACAATGCAACATATTTAATATAATAATTAATAATTAAACATAATTAAACTAATTAAACATACACACAAATGTATAATATTTTGCATTTAATAAATCGTGCACAATTCTTATTATACAATTCTCTACTTATTTATTTAAACATAACATATTTTACAAATGACACGCAGATATTATTATTGTGTGATCATTTGGATAATCCACAAATGATTTTTGATGCCATTTATCAATTTATGATGTCGATTTCTTTCATTGGGAGGCAGATAAATGAGTTCTGGAACCACGACAAGGCAAGTTTTTATAATGTGTTATATTTGATTTCCCTTTTTACTTATGTTTATACTGCAGTAAAACTATTCCAGACTTAACATGTTTCCATGTTTATTGTAATCAGTTGCGACGGTTGTACAAAGCAATTGATCAGCATTGGGATATATTTACGAATGATATGGAAGTTCAAGTTATGAAAAATTATTCTATGCTATCACGAAAATTTACAAAATATTACTCGAGTAAGTATTGCAAGACTAATATACTGAATATAGCCAGAGACATATCTAAGGTATGGCAGGCATGACATGTGCCCTGGACGCCATTTAAAGAGGGCGCAACTTAAAACTACTTTGCGCCAAATCGCGCAAAGTAGTTTTTATTAACTCAATACGATTCGATGTATTTCCTCAAATGGTATACATTATGAATCAATCTGACAATTTTATTTCTAAACTTTTGTGAAAAATATCGTTTTTTTCATTAAAATAAACTGTCAAATATTTCATTTACATAATTTTTTTATTCACTAAAAGATAATTATTTATAATCTCTACATAATTTGAAATATTTTTAATTGAACGTTTATTTCAAAATGTTAAATGTCGCAGAAATTATAAATTATAAACATATAATATTCATGATAATTTAGTTGGTAAGAGCGAAGTTTATTTTTTGTAATGTGAAAGACAAGTCAAGACTTAATAATAATTATTTAAGTCAATTATTTTGTCTTAAATAAATCTCCTTTTGCGTAAATCTTTGTGTGCAAATTTTCTCGTAAAAATATATTTTCTTCCACCTTTTCATACTTCTTTTTTTCTTAATAAACTTTTGTCTGAAAAATAAACTTTGAACAGAGATCAATTTGCAATAGTAAAAGAAAGATGCAGTTATAATTTTTAGTGGTAATGTAAATTGCTATAATGTAAGTAAGTGTAATGTAATGTAAATAAATAAAAGATAAACATATTTGACTTTTTGAGCTAATGTTATAAAATTATCTAAAACATGGATTCATTCAGATATTTAGATAGGGGTGCAATTTCAATGCTTGTCATAGGAATTATTTTCCGTAGATACGTCTCTGAATATAGCGTCATATGATCTTAAAATATAACACAATTCTCTTTTTTGGAATATTGCAGTGCTAATGTTTAGCTCAATATTGATAGTCTCATTAATACCATTAACACCAATATTGCTAGACACTGTGATGCCTCTTAACGAATCACGTCCGCGATTCTTTGCGATTGAAGTTGAGTTCAGAGTGAATAAAGATGATTACTTTTTACCAATTTTATGTTATACAACTGTAATAATTCTGGTAGGTGCAAACGTTGTGATGAGTGTTGATGCAATGCATATCGCGTGCACCGCTCATGCGTGTAGTTTATTTGCCGCTGTCAGGTAGATCAATTAAATTAATTGTAATAATATTATAAATATTTTATAAAACATTAATTTTATATACATTTTCCATATATGTATTTTATGACGTGTATGTGTCGTTTATTATTTACTAAAAAAAAAACATATTTTATTTAATTTTAAATCAAATACAATGGATAAACTCCAACGAATGAAATTCGATTTATCAACACGTAAAAAGGTTAAGAAGCCAAGCTTATTGTTCGTGCTATATTACAATATTTACACGTTTATTGCGGATTAACAATTACAAATACATACAAACATTTCGATTTTTTTTACATCAGGTCATCATCAGTATGATAAAATTATCGTTACCGATTTACAAATTTCAAAATTTTCATATAAAGAGAGAGATTATAATAAGACCCATTAAGAATTATGTACCGAGATTATACTAAAACTCTTAATCAGAACGCAAACAATTGTTCATTAAAGTGAATTTTTTATAGAAATCTTGCACTTTGTGGTGAATAACGGTGTGTATTGGTACAATATTAGTTCATTCTTTGCATTCGATACATCTAATATTACACCGGCACATACGTTATTCATTATAAAATACAAAGTTTCTATAGAAAATTCATTCTAGTGACAATTGTTTGCATTTCGAGTTTATGAAAATTTTGAAATGTAAACCAGCGATAATTTTATCACACTGATGATGACCTGATGTAAAAAGTTCGAAACGTATGTGTTTATAATTATTATTTCGCAATAAATATATAAATAAAAAAATAAATGTATAGTGTGAAAAACAAGTTTAAGTTCTTAGCCTTTTTATGTTTTGATATTTTATTTAACTCTTATGAGATATTATTTACAGCAAACGAATCGAGAATCTAATTTCGAAAGCAAATCACAATAAAGAAAGCAACAAATGTAGATATTGTATGAATATGGAACTTGATCCATTAAATGAAAAATTAATGTACAGAGAATATATAATATGTTTAAAGAAACATCAACTTGCTATAGAGTAGGCTGTTTTTATATTTTTCATTATCCTCCTCTATAAAATGTTTGTTTCTATTCTCTCTCTTTTTCACACACACACACACACACACACACACACACACACACACACACACACACATGCGCGCGCGCGCGCGCGCTCATTCTCTCTCTCTCTCTTTGTACTAATATAATATACTGTTATATAATATTATTGTTATATAAATTAATTTATTAATTTCCTCAATTTAGGTTTGTTAATACATTGAATTCATCATATCAGGGAATTTCATTACTTCTATTAATCTTGCTTATTGGAACTATAAGTTTGATTGCAACCCGAGTAAGTGTCAGAAATTATTCATATAAAATGTCATACATAAATATAAACATAACTATACAAAATGACTAAAATATAATCGAATTTTTCTTTTGGTAAATATTGACAATAACGAATTGAAAATAGACTCCGATAACTTTGACCTTGACATATGACCTTGTCAAGGTCATGACTCTGAGTAACCTTCATAATCATTTCATCTTGTGCTCGTTTTTCACTAAAAACATTGTTAATAAAAAAGTACAATGAATGTTTTGTACATTTTGTAATTATGTGACACTTTATATGTATAGGCTATACGTGCTTCTATTATTATATTACCTGTTCAAAATGAGTTGTATCTTTCTTCCTTACATCAACAATGAAATGAGTATAAACAAGTAAAACTTAAAGTTCGATTTTCCACACAAAGCAAGGTCTACCCATCGGCATAGAATGGACTATTGATGGAGTGAGAGTAGAAAGACGCGTATAGTGAAAGATAAATGGATGAACGTTTCATCTCTTTTCTAGCCTAGCACATCATAACAGGACCCTATTATAATATTATAATACAGTGCTCGCAAAGATTTGCATATTTCGGGCTGATTTCCGACGAACGACTCCCACCGCTCGAGGCTCAGCGGCCGAGTTGCCGAACGCTCATGTGACGCTCTGGATCAGGAGCTCCCTATACCAGAAATTTATACTGGCGCATCTTCAATTATTATTGAAACATTTTATTATTGAAACATTAAATAATTTATTTCTATTAACAAAATTTTCTATTGTTAATTTATTCATTGTTCTTTAGCGATATACTTATATTTTAACGTAGTTTTCTAATACATTACATAATTAGGTAAAAGAAGAATACTCGAATGTGACTTGGCAAGAAAGCAAAATATATATCGTATATAAATTATATGATATCGTATTATATGATATATGATTTTGATTCTTCTTTTCGATTCTTCTTTTTGTGGAATAAGCTTACTGAAGAAATCATATTAAAAAAAAATGCATCTTACAATAGTATCTCACGGGTGACTACTATTGTAAGATCTTGTCGAAATGTACATTATAATTATGTAATAGAAAATTAAGATATATAAATATATCATTAAAGAACAATGAATAAATTAACAATAGAACAATAGAAATTTTTATGTTAATAGAAATAAATTATTTAATAAAAAACATGTATCAATAATAATTTGGCGGAAGGTGCACTCTCAGTATATTTCTGATATAGGGATGCTCCTGAGCCAGAGCATTACGTGGGACTCGGCTGCTCGGCCCCCGAGCCTCGAGCAATAGGGGGAGGTATCGCGCCGGAATCGGCCCGAAATGTGCAAATCTTTACTGTACTAGTCCATACATATCACTATCGACAAATTTTTTAATCTCAACAACAGTACAATTATAGAAGTTGTTTTACAGAAGGAGAGAGAAAGTGAGAATCACTTTGCATAGATATATTAACATTTATTTAAGTTTTTTCATTATCTACTAATATTTTCCCCGTTTTTTCGATCGCTATTGCGTCTGATTGAGTCTGTGAGCAATCGAGCCGATGAGCAATTGTGTCTAAGATAAAATCCACGATGCGCGACGTACCAAGGCGCGAGGCACGTTATGAATATCCTCCATTCGATCCAGAGGAGCTAGAGAAATTTTTTTGACGTGGAACAGTATCCAATACGTCCACCACGTGAATCACCACCTGGCGAGCATCTCCCGCCGGAACTTTGGGAGCTAGAGGATCCTTGGGTGTGGGGCGCATAGCTAGATGTATCTCATTTGCTTCGAGAGCCCTTAATCCTTTGTTTACCATGTATATGATCTAGTAAACTTGTTTTCGTTTTAAAAATTGATCTAGGATATTCTATAAAAAAGTACTCGATTTGATATGTTATCTCATTTTCTTTCATAATTCGTTGTATTGTTCGTCAATTAAATTGTATTAAAATGATTTGCAGATCTGCGTACTTAATGAGGGGTACTCAATGAAGAAAATAGATCGATAAATTTAAATGTTTGTGAAATACGAGAAATCATCATTTATCAACATTCGTCTTGCTATTTGTTATAAGAACCCATCATTTGATTTATTATAAGAAACTATTTTATACAGTACTTAAATATTCAATATTTAAATTTATGAATACTGTATTATGGAGTCAAATAAATATTATGGATTTTTAAAAAATATACTTGGTTCCCATATCTATTTTATCTTTCGAAAATTTGAATGAAAATAACAATAATAAAAATTTTTATACATTAAATATTGATAAAAAACAAACTAATAATTCTAAAACTATGATTTATTTCTTTTATATCTTAATTTTGAGATATCATTTAACATAAGAAAGAAGTATATTAAAATATATTCATATTGTTTGGAAAAAGATCTAACAAACAAGTGAAATTTAAAGAAACTAGAAAACAAGCAATTAATATGCTTATCTTTTCATTATTATCTTATTGTATTTTGCCTAAAGTACTTTAGATTCTATTCTTTCATCACAACTTTAGCGCGTGCTTCAATTTTTTTAATAATATGTATACCATGAATTAAAGATTGCAGATAATATGATTTTGTTACTTAAGTAATTGTAACTTATATAACAGTGGTAAATATTCCGATTAGGGGAGACCGTTCCAATGACCTTGACATATGGTGTTATGATTCTCAGTGATCTTCATCAGGTTTTAGTTGTCACTCGTTATTCGTTTAAAAATTGTTACAAAAAAGTTCATCTTTAAAACCTAACTTTTAAATACAACATGTGCTCTGATGAAACAAATTTCCTGCTTTAACGTAAAATATTTCCTTATATAGAGTGCTCGGAAAGTAATGATAAATCTTTCGCAGAATAAACTAAACTGAGAAGAAAAGTTTTTTACCACCATTTTATAATTTTAGCAATAGTTAATAAGATTAATTGCTAAAAATTGCCGAAAATTGATATTTTAATAATTTTTTTACTCAATTACTATTAACTTTATAAAAAATCTGCAAAAAACAAAAATTGTTTATTATTTTCTTCTCAAAGAGCTCCAAAAATTTTTTGAGAATTTTTTATTAACTTTTTAATACTGCATTATCTTATTTGTTATTTTTACCATAAGAAAATACACTATCAAAAAATTCTGAAAAATTTTGAAAAAATTCTTACAGTTCTATGAGAAGAAAATAAATAATTTTTGTTTCTTGCAGATTTTCTATAAAGTTAATAGTATTTGAGTAAAAAATTATTAAAATATCAATTTTCGGCAATTTTTGTCTCTTGCAGTTTTTCTGTAAAGTTGATAGTAATTGAGTAAAAAATTAGTGAAGATTTCGGCAATTTTTAATAATTAATATCTTGTTAACTATTGCAAAATGTAAGGTAAAGGATGTTTTCACTTAGTCTGCTCTACCTGCCAAATATTTGACAATTATTTTAGGATATCATGTATATTTCTTTTAATATAGTTTAATTTTGAGCTTGTCTTTCTTATTACAACATACCATTTTCTATTTTGAAAGATAAACTAAAAATTCCATTCGTGCACATACACAATTGTAGTGTTTAAAATTCTTGTTAGAATATCTGTTAGCTATTCTAACATACTAGAGACAAATAAGACTTGTACGACGAATAAGACAGGAAACTAGCACGCGTTTACATTATTATTATATATAGTCACCCTCAACTTTCTATTGTATCATGCGATAGCACAATGTTATAATGTATCACTTTACGAAAGCGTCCAATAAATATTTCAGAAATAAAAAAGTGATGGTTTAGTATCAGACACGCTTTGACATCACTAAATTAGTAAACTTTGACAGTTCCAGACATCCTACAATTTCATATTATTTGCGCCGCGACTTACACAGTTAAGGAAACAATAACATATGTAGAGAGGGAGAGAGCGCGTGTCATTCTGTTGTCTTTCAATGAGAAACTAAGACGAATAATCATGTTAGAAAATTTTCTGCGAGAGTATAACGTTAACCGGATATTTCTGTTGAGCATGGGCCTTTGGCCATTTCAAAATAAGTCCATCAGAAATTTCTTACGAACTTTCTTCTTTCTGATCGAAATAAGTTATTGCCCCTTCGAGGTAATACGTATGGATCGATATATATTTCAGACAAATACATCCAATTTGTGTTTTTAATTTTAAATCTTATTTTTATAAAATTTAAGTATAATATATGTATACCACATCGTTAGTGAGCATTATGTATGTTCCTGTCATGAGAAGTTTACAATGCAACATATATAATAATTAATAATTAAACATAATTAAACTAATTAAACATATACACAAAAGTATAACATTTTGTATTTAATAAATCGTGTTTCACAATTCTATACTTATTTATTTAAACGTAACATATTTACGAATGACACGCAGATGTTATTATTGCATGATCATTTGGACAATCCACAAATGATTTTTGATGCTAGTTATCAATTTATGATGTCAATGTCTTTCATTGGAAGGCAAATAAATGAGTTCTGGAACCATGACAAGGCAAGTTTTTATAACTATAATGTGTTATATTTATTTTCCCTTTTTACTTATGTTATTATTTATACTGCGATAAAACTATTTCAGACTTAACATGTTTCCATATTTGTTGTAATCAGTTGCGACGGTTGTACAAAGCAATTGATCAGCATTGGGATATATTTACGAATGATATGGAAGTTCAAGTTATGAAAAATTATTCTATGCTATCACGAAAATTTACAAAATATTACTCGAGTAAGTATTGCAAGACTAATATACTGAATATAACCAGAGACATATCTAAGGCAGACACCTGCTCTAGACGCCACTTAAAGAAAGGTGCCAAATCGCACAAAGTAGTTTTTATTAACTCAGTACGATTCAATGTATTTTCTCAAACATAATATACATACATCATGAATCAAAATATCAATCTGACAATCTAATTTTATTTCTAAACTTTTGTGAAAAATATCGTTTTTTTCATTAAAATAAACTGTCAAATATTTCATTTACATAATTTTTTTATTCACTAAAAGATAATTATTTATAATCTCTACATAATTTGAAATATTTTTAATTGAACGTTTATTTCAAAATGTTAAATGTCGCAGAAATTATAAATTATAAACATATAATATTCATGACAATTTAGTTGGTAAGAGCGAAGTTTATTTTTTGTAATGTGAAAGACAAATCAAGACTTAATAATTATTTAAGTCAATTATTTTGTCTTAAATAAATCTCCTTTTACGTAAATCTTTGTGTGCAAATGTTTCTCGTAAAAATATATTTTCTTCCACCTTTTCATACTTCTTTTTTTCTTAATAAACTTTTGTCTGAAAAATGAACTTTGAGCAGAGATCAATTTGCAATGGTAAAAGAAAGATGCAGTTATAATTTTTAGTGGTAATGTAAATTGTTATAATGTAAATAAGTGTAATGTAATGTATAAAATAAATAAAAGATAAACATACTTGACTTTTTGAGCTGATGTTATGTAAAATTATCTAAAACATGGATTCATTCAGATATTTGCATAAGGATACAATTTCAATGTTTGCCATAGGAACTATTTTCCATAGATACGTCTCTGAATATAGCGTCATATGATAAAAATATAAAATATAACAATTCTCTTTTGGAATATTGCAGTGCTAATGTTTAGCTCAATGTTGATACTCTCATTAATACCATTAACACCAATATTGCTAGACACTGTGATGCCTCTTAACGAATCACGTCCGCGATTCTTTGCGATTGAAGTTGAGTTCAGAGTGAATAAAGATGATTACTTTTTACCAATTTTATGTTATACAACTGTAATAATTCTGGTAGGTGCAAACGTCGTGATGAGCGTTGATGCAATGCATATCGTATGCACCGCTCATGCGTGTAGTTTATTTGCCGCTGTCAGGTAGATCAATTAAAAATTGTAATAATATTGTAATAATATTGTTATAAATATTTTATAAAACATTAATTTTATATACGTATACATAATTTTATATACATAATTTTATATACATTTTCCGTATTTTATGACGTATATGTGTCGTTTTCTACTAAAAAAAACATATTTTATTTAATTTTAAATCAAATACAATAGATAAGCTCCAACGAATGAAATTTAAATTATCAAAGCGTAAAAAGGCTAAGAAGCTAAGCTTATTGTTTATGTTATACAATATTTACATGTTTATTGCGGAATAACAATTATAAATATATACAAACGTACTAATTTCGACTTTTTTACATCAGGTCATCATTAGTGTGATAAAATTAACGCTACTTATTTACATTTGAAAATTTTCATATAAAGAGAGAGCTTATATTAAGACTCTTGTATCGAGATTATATTAAAACTGTTGTACTCAGAACGCAAACAATTGTCATTAAAATGAATTTTCTATAGAAACCTTTTATTTTGTAGTGAATAACGGTATATGCCGGTGTATATTAGATATGATGTATCGAATGCAGAAAATAAACTAATACTATATATCAACATAACTTGATTTAAAAAGATCGAAACGTATGTATTTATAATTGTTATTTCGCAATAAATATATAAATAAAGAAATAAATGGATAGTGTGAACAACAAGCTTTACTTCTTAGCCTTTTTATGTTTTGATATTTTATTTAACTCTTATGAGATATTATTTACAGCAAACGAATCGGGAATCTAATTTCGACAGCAAATAACAATAAAGAAAGCAGTAAATGTAGATATTGTATGAATATGGAACTTGATCCATTAAATGAAAAATTAATGTACAGAGAATATATAATATGTTTAAAGAAACATCAACTTGCTATAGAGTAGGCCGGTTTTATATTTTTCATTATCCTTCTCTATATAAAATATTTATCTCTATTCTCTCTCTTTTTCACACACACACACACACACGCGCGCGCGCACGCGCGCGCACACATGCTCTCTCTCTCTCTCTCTCTTTGTACTAATATAATATACTGTTATTAATATAATATAATATCGTTGTTAAATTAATTTATTTATTTATTTCCTCAATTTAGATTTGTTAATATATTGGAATCATCATATCAGGGAATTTCATTACTTGCATTAATTTTGCTTGTTGGAACTATAAGTTTGATTGCAACTCGAGTAAGCGTCAGAAACTATTCATATAAAATGTCATACATAAATATAAATATGTAACTATATAAAATGACTAAAATATAGTCGAATTTTTCTTTTGGTAAATGTTGACAATAACGGATCGAAAATCTACTCCGATAACTTTGATCTTGACATATATTGTCAAGGTCATGACTCTGAGTAACATAAGATGCTCGTTCTTTACTAAAAACGTTATTAATAAAAAAATACAATGAACGTTTTGTAATTATGTGACGCTTTATATGTATAGGCTGCACGTGCTTCTATTATCATATTATCTATACAAAATGAGTTGTATCTTTCTTCCTTACATCAACAATAAAAAGAATATAAACACATAAGTAGGATTTAAAATTTGATTTTCCATGCAAAACGAGGTCCATCCATCAATATATATTGGGCTGTTCGAAAAGTTCGTACCGACTAACCTATATAATTTAATAAATGTACTAAAATAATAAATATACTAAAATTTAAATCTTCTGCGTTTCAATTTTTCTTCAAAATCGACACGAACTTTCCGGATACCCAATAAAATAGACTACTGATGGCAGTGGTGAGAGTAGAAAGATGCATGCAGTGAGAGACAAATAAATGGATAAACGTTTCATTTCTTTTCTGAGCCTACCACATCAAAACAGGACCCTGGTTATAATTATAATATAGTGCTCGCAAAGATTTGCACATTTGGAGCTGACATTTCGAACGACTCCCACCACCGCTCAAGTCTTGGCGATCGAACTGCCGCGCGCTCACGTGACGCTCTGGATCAGAAGCGTACCAAAAATATACTGGGAGCGCATTATTATTGTTCCGCCAAATTATTATTGAAACATTTTTTATTAAATAATTTATTTCTATGAACATAAAATTTTCTATTGTTAATTTATTCATTGTTCTTTAGTGTTATACTTATATCTTAATGTAGTTTTCTAATACATTACATATTGGGAGTACAAATTAATTCGGTTTCTCTAAAGATGGCTGTTGTGAATGGTTCATAGTGACAGTTGATTTTGGCGGTTTCAGAGAGGTTAAATATCTGCTAATAATATTCCGTTTATATCGCTTTGAGTTTCATACAAAAATCTTGATTTTTATTGTGTTTGAAATGTCGAATTTTGTGTTAACCAAGCAGCATTTGCGGGATGTTTTGATTTTTTGCTTTAATTGGAAGAAAAGTGCGGCTGAAGCTCATCGAATGCTTGTCGAAGTTTATGGTGATACTGATCCAATTGATAAATCATGTAGGGAATAGTTTCAATGTTTCAAGGATGGAGATTTCAGCGTTGAAGACAAGCCTCGCTCTGGACGAAAAATCAAAAAAATTCGAAGACAAAGAATTAGAGGCATTACTCGAAGAAGATCAGAGTCAAACGCAAGAGGAGCTTGCAGAATCATTGGGGGTAACTCAACAAGCCGTTTCTATATGATTGAGAGCCATGGGAATGATTCAAAAACAAGGAAATTAGGTACTTTATGAACTGAAACTGAGAGACATTGAAAGGCGATTTTTCACTTGCGAACAGCTGATTCAAAGACAACAGAGAAAAGGTTTTTTGCATCGGATTGTGATTGGAGATAAGAAGTGGATATTCTACGACAACTCCAAGAAGAAAAAATACTATGCTAAGCCCAGTCAATCGTTGCTATCGACATCAACACTATGGCCGAACATTCATGGTTCAAAGATCATGCTTTGTATCTGGTGGGAAAAGGATCTTTATTATGAGCTGCTGAAACTTGGTGATTCCATTACGGGCGATCGGTATCGGCTACAATTGATTTGTTTGAGCCATGCATTGCGAGAAAAATGGCCGGAACACGAGCACAGACATGATAAAGTTATTCTTCTTCATGACAACGCTCGGCCTCATGTCGCTAAAAAAAATATTTGGAAACGCTCAAATGGGATGTTTTATCGCACCCGCCATATTCTCCGGACATTGCTCCTTCTGATTACTGGTTGTTCCGAAGGATGCAGGAAGTCACCGGTTCACTTCCTTCGCAGAAATCGAAAATTGGCTCCAAAATTGGATCGCCTCCAAAAACGAGTCATTTTTTCGAGATGGAATTCGAAAATTGTCTGAGAGATGGAAAAAAGTAGTAGGCAGCGATGGACAATACTTTAATTGATCTGTTCATTCATTTTATTTTGAAATAATGCATTTTTGAAACGAACCGAACTAATTTGTAATTAGATAAAAGAAGAATCAAATACTGGAATGTGGCTTGGCAAGAAAGCAAAGTTATATATTGTATTATATGAAATATGATTTTGATTCTTCTTTTCGATTCTTCTTTTTATGGAATAGGTCTACTGAAGAAACTACATTAAAAAAAAAATGCATCTTACAATAGTACCTCACGGGTAATGTAGAAAGATCTTGTCGAAATGTACGTTATAATTTTGTAATGTATTAGAAAACTACATTAAGATATATAAGTATATCATTAAGGAACAATGAATAAATTAACAATAGAAATTTTTATGTTAATAGAAATAAATTATTTATAAAACATGTTTCAATAATAATTTGGCGGAAGGTGCGCTTCCAGTATATTTCTGGTATAGGGACGTTCCTGAGCCTGAGAATCACGTGAGCGCTCGGCGATTAGGCTACCGAGCCTCGAGCGACAATGGGGGTAGCGAGTCGGAATCAGACATAATATGTTGTCTCACCAGATAACATTTGTAGTGCATAAGATATCTAAAAGACATCTTTTAGACATTTTTTAGACATAAGATGTCTAAAAGATATCTTTTAGATATCTTATACATAAATGTTATCTGAGAGCGTCCCGATTGACTACGTCCCGATTGACCAATATAATTTTATCATTTTAATTAAAATGATAATTATATTTACAAAAGAAAATAGTTATTGCGATATAGAATCCTCGTTACTTGAGATTTTATAAGACTTCGTGGAAATCTCGGAATTTCCAGATTCACGTATTTCCTGACTTCAATCTTTGCAAGTCTGTTATAGAAACTTCTCGATCTAAATTTATAACAATTATTATAGTTATAATAGTTTCTGATAAGCAAGAATTATTAGCAAGAATTATTATGACAAAATGTTTTAGAAAATTTAATATTTGATTTTTTTAAAGAAATAAAAATTATTTTGCAAGAAAAATATTCTTTAATAACGTAAGATACGATCTACGCACTTAAGCTACAGAGATGCTCTTGAGCCAGAGTGTGAGCGTCCGGCAATTCGAGTCTCGAGCGATAATGAGGATAGCGCGCCGAAATCGGCCCGAAATGTGCAAATCTTTGTGAGTATTGTTCTGGTCTATACATCCCACTGTCGACAGATTTTCTAATCTCAACAACAGTACAATTATAGAAGTTGTGCACTCTTTTTACAGAAGGAGAGGGAAGATGAGAGTCGCTTTGCATAGATATATAAACATTTATTTATGTTTTTCATTATCTACTAATATTTTTCCCGTTTTTCCGATCGCTATTGCGTCTGATTGAGTCTGTGAGTAATCGGGTCGATGCGCAATTGGATCGGTGCGCAATCGGGTCAGTGTGCAATCGAATCTGTGCGTAATCGAATTTGTGTCCGATCGGATCCGTGTCCAATTGGGTCTGTGTCCAATTAGAAAGTACTGCTGTGTCCGATAAGTTTCAATGTGCGCAATCGAATCTCACTCGCTGCGTTCAAGGAGTCCGCTATAAACATTATTTGTATCATACTATCATGTCACGTGTAATGGATGATGAAGATAGAATGACATAAATAGCATCTTCCCGAACACACTAATAATATTATATAAAGATCAAGGTTATCGGAGCTGATTTCGTGTTATTGTTAACATTTACCTTTCCTTTTTGTAATCTTCCAAGCCGAGGTTACTTCATAAGATGATTTTCTCTTCAGTTTCGTATATAGATGAGACAATTCATTCAGTCAACAGAAATTGAAACATAATGTCAATGTTATAATATAATTTCGCACTCTACAATAATTGTTATGTAATACTATGTGTTATAATACATTCATATTATAGACTATGAAATTATAATATTGATTAATGTTACTTTCATTTTGTGTCGATTGGGCAGATTTTAATTTTGACAGTAATTAGATAGACAGTAATTAGACAGACATTAAATAATAACTGATAAATAAAAATATAAAGAATATATAAAGATATAAAAAAATTTTGAACAAAAATTGAGAACAAAAAATTATAATTATATGTATGATGTTAAACTTTATTAGTAATAATATATAATAAGTTATTACAATGTGTAATAAATTATTATTACATATTGTTAAATTTCTTCGTTTTTTGTAAAATTTTTAATCTTATTAAACTTTTGTTATCATGAATAAAAATATTATTATATTTTGAATATTTATGTAACATTTTTTAATTTGTTATAGATCACTTATGTATTAGATCAAGCGGAAGAAATAATAAAATTCACATTTATATTCGCAGCATGTCTAATGACTTTAATGATTGTATGTTACTCCGGTCAGAGATTAATGGACGAGAGTCAAAGTATATTCTATCGAGCGTAATAATCATTTTTTATCTTAATATATACTAACGATTATAAAGCATTCTTTAAATAAAATTAATAATAATTTAATTATAAGCATATTCAAAAGATTTAAAAGTTTTAATTCAACAATCTTCATTCTTTCATTTAAAATTGATATAATACAATTAAAATATATAATTAACACGAAACATTAGTAATTTAATTAATGTAATTTTTTGAATATTTAATAATTTTAGAAAATTCGATAAAATCAATTATTATCTTATGCTTACAGATATGCTGCAGAATGGTACAAGTTCTCGCCTAGACTAAAATCTTTATTAATAATAACTCTTTACAGAAGTAATGTACCATGTGGATTGAAAGCAGGTAATATGATTCCATTATCCATTGCGACTTTCGCAGCGGTAAGTAAAATGCGTAAAAATATAAAGCTATTTTTACAATGCTCTGTGTGTGTGTGTGTGTGTGTGTGTGTGTGTGTGTGTGTGTGTGTGTATGGGCATATATGTGTGCGTGCGTGTGTGTAGGGAAAAAAGTGCGTGTGTGGAGGAATTGCACGCATTTAAAGGAAATTACTATGTGAGATAATTTTTTAAATTAAAATCGATATAAGGAAATCCAAATCATAAATGTATTTCTCTATCTCATATTGAACAATTTTTCATTTAGTAATATTTGATAAAAAGTAAAAAAAGCAAATACGAAAAAATTTCTCTTGTGTCGAGTAATTGTATGCATAGGTTTGGTAATTGTGCTCAAAGCAATAATATAATCATAGGAAATTAATGAATAAAACTAATATTTCATGGAATGTTGGTAAGACAATGAGATCAAAATATATTTATTAACACAAAATTAATCCTAATAGCCTGATAGCCCTGTGTTATTGCTATCATGTTGCCAAAAATAAAACTCATTAGTTTCTAGCAAATTTAGAACAAGGTGTATAAGTCATTTGCTTGTGGTGTGACATCACGTGAATTCAACATGTTGCTGTTAATTTGTGTATTTGCTATCAACGATTTATCGCTGCGCAATATAACGACAAATTAACAACACATCTAACATCATACATTTTAGCAAAAATGCAACATGTTGAAAACGATTAGAATGTAAGTTAATTGAAAACTTTCCAATTTTCACCGTTATTTCTTGCATAATCTTACTATTTTATGTGTGATCGACTTATGATATACCCCGGATATAGGGTATTATGGATCATTACTTAAAAATATGTTTTTATTTTTTTCTTAAAAACTAATAAATATTTACTAAATATACTTATTAAATTTTGAAATATGCATTATGCTTTAATTATTTTTAAAAAATGGTACAAAAATTTTTATATTTAAATATACTTTTAAGAGTTTGAAGTTTTGTGACTCATGGTGACAATGATGGATCCCGGTCTCTCCCATATATATTTTTGCACTATTCCTTTTAAATATTATAAAATAATAAGTAAATAAATTTTTTTTTCGAGCGAATTGTTCATCATATTACCTTAAAGAATTCAATTACAATATGTAATTACAATATGTAATTACAAAATGAAGTATTAAAACAATTCGACAGAAAGAAGAATTTATTTATCTATTATTTTATAATATTTAAGAGGAATAGAGATGCAAAAAATATAATATACATACATTCAATATTTTCTATATGTTGTATACAATTGAATATATTATTTAATAAAAAAAATATATTGTATATATATATATACAATATAATAACTTATGCTCTTTCGTATTCCATTTAAGGTAATACGAATCGCCATGTCTTACTTTACTGCGTTTACATCATTCAAAGAGTGATTATTGAAGTTTCAATTCCTTCTTCACCGATAGATTCTAAATGTTTGATAAATTGTGATTGTATATATAATGTCAATAAATTGTATTTCAATGATACATTTAGCTTTAATAATTCTTGAATTTAACTTTGATAAAATTTTGTTGAAATTATTCTGTTTTGGAACATTTCCAGCGAAATTATTGAAATTTGCTAAAATTTCACTGAGAATGAATTTTTTAGCTAATATATTGAAAAATTGCTGAAATTTCTCTAAAATCTTGCTGAAATTTTAGTAAATATGAATTTTTCAGCTAAAAATTGTGGAAATTAAATTGAAATTTTTCTAAAATACTGAAATTTTGCTGAAAAGTATTCCAAAATAATTTCAGTAAAATTTTTCCATCAGAGAATTTTACCTTTTTATTTACTTATAATTTTCCATATTACATTCAATTATGTTCAAATTGCGAATTGATTCGATTTTATTGTACTTCATTATTTTCTCTTTTTAAATACATGTACTTGGCTCACAATCAGTTAAATCAATCGAATAACATTTTAACAGAGAAGTAGTTCTCAGTATAAAAAAATAGCACACGCGTACATTGCTATTACTATTATCATCTTGTCATTCCGAGTATGATATGTTATAATATCTCTTCTCTATACTTATGTTACTATGACATAAAACTAGAAAGATGTTTAACAGAATATTTTTGAAAACGACAAAAATGATAGTTCAGTATCGACGAATAGATATATTTCAATCATCAAAGAAATGAGATACAGTAACAATTACTGACATCGCACGATATTACATTCTTATCTTGCAACTTGTTCAACAGTCAATACGATAGCGTATATTTATACCATTACGTTTTAGTACATCGTAGTGCAAGTATTAGTCATGCTAGCAAATTTTCTACGAGAGTACAACGTAAACCGAATATTTTTATCGATCTCAGGTCTCTGGCTGTTTCAAAATAAGAATGTAAGAAATTCATTACGGACTGTCTGCTTACTAATGGAAATAAGTTACTATCCGTTTGAGGTAATGCGTATCGATATATAATTGATTTGATAAAACACATCCTATTGACATTCATAATTCTGTCTTTCAAAATATTATTATTATTATATATAAAACAGATGTATAATAATATATTGCTGTGAACAATTCTTATTATCACAAGGTATAATTTATAATATAGCAGCATAATGTACATAATTGACAAATAACGATTAATTAAACAAGTAAAACGATTTTATACAATTGATCTTATAACTATACACTTGCAATGCATTTATGAATTATAATTAAACATATGCAGATACTATTACTGTATGATCATTGGGGTGATCCACAAATGGTTGTCGATGCTTGCTATCAATTTATTTTCACAACTGCTTTTACCGCAAGAGTATTGCATAATATTTGGAATCAGGACAGAGTAAATTCACAAATCTTTTATTATCTTTTTATTTCATTTATATTTTATTTCTTTTCGTTAGTCTCTTGTTAAAAAATTATTTTACATATAATATGTTTGTAAAAATCGTGTCCATTTATTATAAACAGTTGCAACAATTGTATATAGCCATCGATAAACACTGGGACATATTTACAAGTGATGTGGATGTTCAAATCATGAAACATTACGCTATGCTTTCACGAAGATTTACAACAGTTTTCTCGAGTAAGTACGTTGTAGAGTAATTATCGTATAAACAAAATAAATAAACTAAAATTTTATGATCTAAAATGAATCAAGATTATAAGTATAGTGATATGACACTTGCTACATTATAAAATTAAATTGTGAACAAATGGCGTTAAATAATTTTTGTTATATAATAATAGATTTAAAAAAAAAATAATGATGTTGTAAAATACTTCAGATATTATTGTGAACAAAGACATATTCTTACGAAATGTTGCAGCGCTATTGTTTTTCACAGTGTTAATATTTGTGACAATACCATTAATACCAGTATTATTAGACACAGTACTACCTCTTAATGAATCACGTCCGCGAATCTTTGCGGTCGAAGTCGAATTCAGAGTGAATAAAGATGATTACTTTTTAATAATGTTTTGTTACACTACCATTGTAGTTATAATAGGTTTAAACATTTCAATTGGTGTTGATACAATGCACATAGCCTGCACCGCTCATGCATGCAGTTTATTTAGCGCTGTCAGGTAGATCAATTAAATATGGTAAATAATATTGTTATAAGTATTGTATAATCTTAGATTTGTATACATATTCCGTTTATACATTTTATGACATATATGTTTCATTTTTCGTACACACATTATATATATATTTTATTTAACTTTTGCGAGACATCATTTTTACAGTAAACAAATTGAGAATATAATTTCCAAAGCCTATAATAACAATAAAATAAGCAAATGTGGATATCGTATAAATATGGAACTTAATCCATTTAATGAGGAAATAATATACCGGGAATATATAATATGTTTAAAGAAATATCAGCTTGCTTTAGAGTAAGCAAATTTTATTATTACTATCGTAATTGTTTTTCTATAAATAAAATGTCTCCTTCTTTCTTTCTCCCCTAAACTTCACTGGATTATTAACGTGACTTATAAATTTTTACTCTAGATTTGTTAATATATTGGAATCATCATTTCAAGGACTTTCATTACTTTTATTACTATTAATGATTGGAAATATAAGTCTAATCGGAGTCCGAGTAAGTATATATAAAAATTATTTTTATAAAATATCCCGAACAGATATCCTGAAGAGATATTTTAAAGGAGTTGGAATTACAAATAGATTTACTAAAAACGGAATACAAATATGCAATCATACAAAACAATCAAATTCACAATTGTTGTGATACGAGTTTAATCACATTGGACGATTAAACGCGTTCGTCTGTTATTCGTTGGGCGAGTATATTTTATTTAAAGAATTGAATCATTTCGAATCTTTATAAATTTTTCTTATTACTCTGTAAATCAAATAAATCTTCATTTCATTCAATATTGAATCGAACGAGTTTCTCAAATCTTCGCGCTATCCAAGAATTTAATAAAACAACAAATTGACGCTGTGGCAAATTCAGTTTTGAGATATTGATGGAACAATTTTTAATCTCTCTGGCTCAGATCAAACAACAGTTGATAGAAATAACAGCTTATTCTTCATCAGCTATCGGAATCGCAGAAACAAACTGAACTTCTACTATCCCAAAAGAAAAATTCTGTTTCATGCTCCCAATCTCTATCGCACTGCGGACCCGTCGGCGACGGGTTCGGGAAATTTTCTCTATTCTACAATTTATCAACGCGGCTGGGTAAATTCGTCTACGATCCTATAAGATGTAAAACATTTTCCTTAGAGTATGAATGTCATGCCGGCGTTTTTGAAAGATTTATTTGATGAAGAGGATAAGGAATTATTTCTCATTGCGCTCGGCGATGACGAGTATCAATGTTTATATCGTTATGTCTCTCTTCTAAAAAAACCCCCTTAAAGGTTTGCCTTTCAATAATCCCGTCGCGCATTTAGCAATAGTAGATGTATGAACATATTTTATATATAATTATATATGTTTGTGTATGTTTATACCAGGTATATAAGCTTTTATTTTTTAGTCAGAAAAATACATTTTTTTTTCCTAGGAAGCAAAAACAAATTTATTCAAAGTACTTGCCCTCACTAACTATACATTTTTCCCATCTTTCGGGCAATTTGTGTATACCACGCCAAAAAAATTCCTCATCTTTCAAGGCAAACCACTCATCAAGTCATTTTCGGACGTCTTCGTAAGAATCGAAGTGCCACTCAGCGAGCGCGTGGCCCATTGACGAAAACAGGTGATAGTCAGAAGGTACCAGGTCTGGTAAGTAAGCGGGATGGGGTAGCACTTTCCAGTTGAATGTCTCCAAGTAGTTTTGGACCATTGTTGACGTGTGCGATGGTGCGTTGTCGTAGAGGAAAATGAACTAGTCATGTCTTTTCCGATAATGCGGCCTTTTTTCACGCAGAGCACGGTGCAATTTGATCAGTTGTTGGTGATAGCGGTGAGCATTAACACCAGTTTCACGAGGTTTTAACAACTCGAAGTAGATGACACCCTCCTGATCCCATCAAACGCACAGCATCGTCTTCCGTCCGAAGCGATTTGGTCTTGAGGAAGATGTTGATGGTTGGGCGGGATCAACCCAAGATTTCTTGCGTTTAGGATTCTGAAAATAGATCCACTTTTCATCGCCTGTCATAATCCGATGCAGGAACGACTTTCTTTTTTGTTTGGCAAGCAAAATTTAGCATGTATTTTGGCGTCGCTCTGCCTATCGTTCAGTTCACCCATGCGGCACCCATTTTCCGATCTTTTGAACCTTCCCCATGGCATGTAGCCGCATGGAAATGGCTGCTTGAGAAACACCCAATTGCTCGGCTTTTTTGCGATTAAGTATCGTCCTCGTCCAAAAGAGCCTGCAATTGACAGTCCTCAATCTTCCTGGGCTGATTTTCACGCTTCTTGTTACTCAGGTCAAAATTGTCGTCATTGAACCAGCAAAACCAATCTCTGCACGTTTCCGATAAAGCATTGTCGCCATAGGCCTCCACAAGCATTCGATGCGATTCGGCAGCCGATTTCTTCAAATTGAAACAGAAAAGCAAAGCTTCCCGCATATGCTTTTTTTTAGCAAAAAAACTAGACATGATTATGAAAGAAAAAATGTATGTTGTTGTATGAAATTGCTGATGATGCACTGGTTAATGTTGACAGATGTCATAAAAAAAAGTGTGTTGTGTGCCTAGGGAAGCTTTGTAATGCGCTCACTAATGCCACCTATGAGCAAACAGCGGATTTAAGCTTATACACCTGGTATATATTATTACATATTCATGCATGAAAAATTTTTTACCGGAAAGCCATGTTTCGAGGTTATTTTTTTCGTGACTAGAGGCTTCAGTTTGCTTTCCTTCTTTTTACTCTATGCTGCAATGGTTCATTTTGTTTCTTTCTACTATGCACTTAATAACGCGTAGGGGAAGAGTGGAAATAGTTGCCGTAGTAGTTACTATGCTATAGCTATCAGTAACTACCCCCATTCTTTTCCAACCATGTATTACTAAGTGATAACGCAAGCCAAAATCTGATATCACTGGATCCATCCTATCTCTTCTTCTGCCAAGAGGTATGCGACTTTTCACGCAAAATAATATCTACTGTATAACTTAAGGCCATGGCACACGAAAAACTTGAGCAATGAAACGTATGTAAGCAGTAAGAGAATATTAACTAATCACAATAGAATAACTATTGTTTCCTTACTGCTTACATATTGCTGCTTTATGTTTTTTGTGTGCCATGGCCCTTAGTTAAATAGTGTATAATTTCGTTTCCGTTCGATCACCTTTTGTTAAATATTAATTGTAAATAAATAGAGATAAATCGTTTTTTCATTACCATTTCCTAGCTTAGTTAACAATTACCAGTGTGTAATTTCCATTCAATTTCCTTTTATTAAATATTAGTTAATAATTAAATAGAAACAAATAGAAATCGATGATTTTTCATTATCATTTCCTAGCTGAGTTATTAACAATTATCAATACGTATAATTCGTTTACCATAGACCGCTAGCGTTTGTAACGCTAATGCACTTTCGCGCCAAAACGTCCAATAGCGTATTCTGACTGGACAATTAGCGCACTCTCGCGTCGAAACGTGTAACAGTACATCTGGTTGATTGATGATGATAATAGGCTTGTTCTTTTTAATTGAACTTTTGCATCAGTTCATCTTCCTTTCTTTTCTTTTCTGCTAAAGAGAAAAGGAAGAAAGATGAATTGATGCAAAAATTCAATTAAATTTTAATTGAACTCTTATTATTATCATTATTATTTTATTTTTCTTCAAAATTAAAATAACTCACTAAAGAGAGAAATAATTCATTATTTCAAATAATGTCTTATTAAATATTCAAATAATGTTTTCGAAATCAAAAGAATCAACGGAACAAACATCTTCCTCTCTTCTCTTTCCCATATTTAGTCGATTTTTTTTCATGATTTCTTCTCCCCTTCCCCCATCATAATTCATGAACTGAATTAATTTCCGTATCGCTTCTCCGTTTGTACAAATACGCACACTACAGATTTACGCTCGCCCTATGATGAATGATATGAAAATATGTCTGCCAAAAAACATGTATACTTGCCTCTTGTAACTAATTAATAATTTTACGATTAATAATTTAAATAAGTAACCGCGTTTTATAATGTACTCTTTATTAAATAGCTCATAATAATTATAGTTTATAGAATAATTATAGTTTATAAATATTAGATTACTTTTAGATGTTAAAATGATAATAGTTGCAAATTACAGATACAATTTCCTTAAAATATTGTAATACTAAATAATTTTTGTTTAATAATAAATTAGAATATTGTTAATATGATTTGCATCAATTTCTATTTATTTTAGAATCATAAGATCACGTACTCACTTCCACCGCCTCAGAAATTGCACATCGTCCGGTTCCGAGTTATAAAGATTAAGTTTCCAAGATTCCTTGACTCAAAATTCTGACCGACATTTTTGCTCATCAGAAACAGGTGTTATAGCCTTTTAGGATGTTGACTCATATTCCAGAACGATAAAAAGTGCGTTCAACTCGCTCCATTCCTTTCCACGCGGATACATGCAAGAGACAAAATGTCTGCTCTAACGTTCTTCCATATTTCATCCTTTTATTTCTTTTTTTTTACACCAATCCACATATATGTTCGAAATTTGAACGTAACACTTATTTTACTGCGTTTACATCATTCAAAGAGTGATTACTGAAGTTTTAATTACTTCTTCACCGAAACATTTTAAATGATCGATAAATTGTGATTATATATAAAATGTCAATAAATTGTATTTCGATGATACATTTAGCTTTCATAATTCTTGAATTTAATCTTACTTTTTTATTTTCTTATAATTTTATATATTACTTTAAATTATTGAGAATTCAAATTGAGAATTTATTCGATTTTGTTGTGTTTCATTATTTTATATTTTCGAATATATATACTTGGCTCTACTTATTGTACAATCAATTAAACCGATGAAAAACATTCTAGCAAAGAAGTTCTCAGTATAAGAGAGCAGCATATGCCTACATTGCTATTACTGTTACCCTCAATCATCCTGTCATTCTGAGTTCGCTATGCTATAATATCTCTTTACTATACTTATGTTATTATCTCTTTACTATACTTATGTTATTATAATGGCAACTAGAAAGAACATGGCAAACTAGAAAGAACGGAAGTGATAGTTCAATATCGGCAAGTAGATATGTTTTCATCATCGGAGAAACGAGCTACGGTAACAATTACTGACATCGCACGATGTTATATTCTTATCCTTGTATTGTTCAACAGTCGATAGCGTACGTTTTATATTCACACGTTTTATATCATTGCGTTTTAGTACATCGGAGAGCAAGTATTAGTCATGTTAGCGAATTTTCAGCGAGAGTATAACATAAACCGAGTATTTTTATCGATCTCAGGTCTCTGGCTGTTTCAAAGTAAAAATGTAAGAAATTCATTACGGACTGTCTGCTTGCTAATGGAAATAAGTTCCTATCCGTTTGAGGTAATGAGTATCGATATATAATTGATTTGATAAAACACATCCTATTGACATTCATAACGATCTGTCTTTCAAAATATTATTATTATTGTAAAACAGATGTATAATAATATATTGCTGTGAACAATTCTTATTATCACAAGGTATAATTTATAATATAGCAGCATAATGTACATAATTGACAAATAACGATTAATTAAACAAGTAAAACGATTTTATACAATTGATCTTATAACTATACACTTGCAATGCATTTATGAATTATAATTAAACATATGCAGATACTATTACTGTATGATCATTGGGGTGATCCACAAATGATTTTCGATGCCTGCTATCAATTTATTTTCACGACTTCTTTTATCGCAAGAGTCTTGCATAATATTTGGAATCAGGACAGAGTAAATTCACAAATATTTTATTATCTTTTTATTTCATTTATATTGTCATTATTTCTTTTCGTTAGTCTCTTGTTAAAAAATTATTTTACATATAATATGTTTGTAAAAATCATGTCCATTTATTATAAACAGTTGCAACAGTTGTGTATAGCCATTGATAAACACTGGGACATATTTACAAATGATGTGGAAGTTCGAATCATGAAAGATTACGCTATGATGTCACGAAGATTCACAATAGTTTTCTCGAGTAAGTACGTCATGTGGAGTAATTATGTATAAACAAAATAAATTAAAATTTTTATGATTTAAAACAAATCGAGATTATAAGTACAGTGATATGACAATGGCTACATTATAAAGTTAAGTTATAAACAAAATAGCATTAAATAACATTTTATTCAATAACAAAAAAGTTATAAATTTTTTAAAAAGAATAATGATGTTGCTCTAAAATATTTCTGATTAATATTATTGTAAACAAAGATACATAATTCTTTCGAAAGATACATAATTCTTTTGCAGTGCTATTGTTTTTCACAGTGTTAATATTTGTGACAATACCATTAATACCAGTATTGTTAGACTCAATGCTACCTCTTAATGAATCACGTCCACGAGTTTTTGCGATCGAAGTCGAATTCAGAGTGAATAAAAATGATTATTTTTTAATAATGTTTTGTTACACTACCGTTGTAGTTATAATAGGTTTAAATATTTCAATTGGTGTTGATACAATGCACATGACTTGCACCGCTCATGCATGCAGTTTATTTGCTGCTGTCAGGTAGATTAATTAAATAAATAATTGTTATAAGTATAATCTTAGTTTTATATGCTTCGTTTATATATTTTATGACATATATATTTCATTTTTCGTATACACATTATACGTATATTTTATTTAACTTTTATGAAACATCATTTTTACAGTAAACAAATTGAAAATATAATTTCCGAAACTTATAATAACAATAAAATCAGCAAATGTGGATATCATGTAAATATGGAACTTAATCCATTTAATGAGGGAATAATATACCGGGAATATATAACATGTTTAAAGAAACATCAGCTTGCTTTAGAGTAAGCAAGTTTTATCCTACATCTTAATTGTTTTTCTATAAATAAAATGTCTCCTTTCTTCTTTCGCTGAGTCTCGATTAACGTAAGTTACAAATTTTTAATCTAGATTTGTTAATATATTGGAATCATCATTTCAAGGACTTTCATTGCTTTTATTACTATTAATTCTTGGAAATATAAGTCTAATCGGAGTCCGAGTAAGTATTATAGAAATTATTTCTATAAAATATCTTGAAGAGATATTTTAGAGGGGTTGCGGAATTGCAAATAGGTTTTTACTAATAATAGATTACAATTGCAATTATACAAAACTTATAATTCTTGTGATACGCGCTTAACCGCATCTCGAATTGATTGATTAAGGAGGTTCGCTTATGATTTTGGAATAAACAATACAATCAAATCATTATAGCGATTCCGTATCATATGCAATATTAGTGTAATTATGGATACTATTTATGTATTATATTCTTAGCAAATTATTTGTGTGTGTGTGTGTGTGTGTGTGTGTGTGTGTGTGTGTGTGTGTGTGTGTGTGTAATACTAACCGTGTATAAAATTGTCAACGACTCGGAAGGTCGAGTGTATTTGGCGACGTTGCACTTCGCGACGAGCAATCACTTTGACTATAAACACTTTGATTGCCAGTAGCCAACTTCAGTCATGTCGCCAAGCTGAAAGATTAGGCTCCGCCCCAGTAATCGGCGGGAGAGCTATAGTACATGCACATTTACGGCATGCAATGGTCAGTAAAGGTCTCTGCCTCTCGAAGAGACTATTTAAAGGATTTTAGAATCCTTATTAATTTGATATTGTAACTTTGTACTTCAGTCGGAAAACCAAATAAGGAGAAAACAAAAGAAGAAAAAGAAGAAAAATGATGCTTATTATAAAAAGCATGGCAACTTTCGCATTCGAACTTGTCGGTTTTTATTGCGGTTTTCGGGGCGGAGCCTAACAGTCTTCAGCCTTGAGCTTCTTCGGTCGGCGTATATCGGTACATCGTTTGACATTGTGTATCTTTGAGAGATCCAATGTTCAGGTCGCCGTTTACTTCGAATGCATTTATAATCTTTTTGACTTCTGGATCTGACAGCTGCTCTTTTCTTAATTTGGCAGCCCCGTCCAAAGATAAATCGATGACGATTATGCATACTCCGCAGTCATGTTGATTTTCGCCTGTGCACGGTGATCTTGACAGCGTGTCCACGACCATGTTTATCTTCCCTGGTGTGTAGACGATTTGAAGGTCGTAATCTTGAAAACTTAGCGCCCAATGGGCTAATCAACCCAGTGATGATTTTAGACTCATTCCACTTTAATGGTTGATCTGTGTTTATTGTAATTCGGGCTCTGTCTTTTGAATTTTTTATAGTAGCCCAGACTATAGCGAGGGCTTCGTGTTCCGTGGTGAAGTAGTTACTAGTATTCAATAAACGCCTGGCATATTCTACTGACCTCTCGTTGGTTCCTTTGGACCAGAATTGTTGATTGTGTAATTGCTGATATCCATTCGTATGATAAATGGTAATTGATCGTCGGCTTGCCTGAGTATGGAAGCTTGAATAAGCCTTTAATCCTATAAAGGTTGTTCTTGATACAATTCTCTACATGAATGTCGACATTGATAACCCACACGATTTCTTTGCTACGAGTATCATCGGCTAATCTGATGCACAGGTTTAATTTCTGTCCCTTTTTGAGAAGTATTTCGAAAAGAGAATGTCCAGTGATGCTCATTTTTGCATATCGATTAATCCCGTTCTTTTCGCGCCTAATATTTCTACGTTGAGAACTAATTGTTTTCCGTATATTGCTTGTATTTCTGATCCTTGCTTGCATTTCTTCGCATCCACCAGGCAAAAATCGGGCTTTTCTTTGCTTTTACGATTTTTGTCGGCTTTGTTGCATTTTGGACAGTTTTTGCGGAAATAACCGGGGTTCCCACAACCGAAGCACGTTACGTACGGTGGCGTTGATCGTTTGTTTGTGCGACGAATTCTTGCATTCTTATTTTTTTATTCGATGCGTTCGGATTTTCCTCATTCTTCTTTTTGAGACTTTTATATTCGTCCGTGGTACATCTAAAATTTTTGCAAAATTTGCAATGTGGGCGGTTCTCGTGTTTGCGACGCTTACGGTTTGGATATTATGTCTTTTTCCGCTTTGACTTTTTCGCGTGCAAGATCTAATAATTCTGCGAATGATGTAATTTTTTCGCGCAGTATTTCCTTTCAAATTTTATATCCTAACAGCTTGTAAACCATGTCTAGTTGGATGTTTTCTGTTAACGGCGTGTCGTATGAAAGTAGTGCGCACGCTTTGCATACGAATACGTCCATTGATATGTCTTCTCTTTGTTTGCACGAAAAGAGTTCTTTATACACATGGTATGCTTTCTTAAGGCCGTCTGTTTTAGTTCTCTATCGCGATATTCCAAGTATCGACAATGCTTTTACATTTTGCCATCACGTCGCGGTGAGATCAGTGAAGAGAATCGGTAATCCTTTTAGCGCGTTTTCATATATTTGTGCATTCCTTGTACGTACTGATCACGTTGATGAAAGCCTCTACATCAGATGATTTGTTTCTGTTGAAGCGGGAGGTACATCGCGAGAAATTATCTTGTCGTTGCACGATGTTCGCGACTGGTGCGTTCGTGACAGATATCTGTATCTGTTGTAGAAGCATGGCGAACTGTTCGTTCGTTAACATGATTGTGTTACCTGCTTCTTTCTTCCATCTTTTTTACCTCTCGATCCTGAATCTTGGCGTTTGTACCCTGACGCGATATCCGACAGCAATCGTATCTGCGGTCGTATCGTCGGTTGACTTGTTTGGGGATGATGACGTTTTAGTTTCGAGATGGCTTTCGTCATGAATTCAGTTTCTTGTTGGACGTCATTTTGTAGCATGGATTGCACTTGCTATGCTATACTTAATCGTTTCACGAGATAATGAGGACGTTACTGGGGAGAATTCTCGGAAGATGATTCACTTTAAGTGAATCGATACGCAGGTTAAGGAAGACAAAATTGTTTTATTGTCATGTTTCGATCTGCTCGCTGTCTTACAATATGGCTAACTCTATCAGAAATCATGTATTGTGGAATATACAGTTTCTCATAGATTGAAATTCTTATTCTCTGTTCTCTGTTCCTTATTCCTTTTATTTATATTGTGCGGAACACAAACTGTATATTACTGTCCCTAACTGTATATTACTGCCTTTTTCTCTCGTAGTCTCTTTGGCTAATCAGGAACTTCTCATCGTCCTTGCATACGTTATGGAACCCTTCATGTTACAAGTTTGTATAAGCATCATAAAACTTGCCAGTAGCATAACATTCTTTCCCTCGTTCACTACAATACGATACAATAATAAAAAGTACAATACAGTACAATAATAAAAAGAACAACCGGAATGAACGTCGAGTGCCTATTCCTGCGATGCTTGATTCGACCTTAAGACGTTCTGGGTACAATCTATCTGGCTGTGTTTGTTTATATTTTAGAAGTTAGTATTAAATGAAGTTTTTTAATACTGATATATTCTGCGTTTTACTATTGATTTCTCGAGCAAAAGTGATAGTCGAGATATCGTGTAGCGATACGCGCTTAATCACAGCATCGATTAAGCGCGTTCGCCTGTTGCTCTTTGAACGAATGTATTTTGTTTGAAGAACTGAATTGTTCCAAATCTATGGAATTTTCTCATATTATTCTAAATCAATAAATTTTCGTTTTAAATCAATAAACTTTCGTTTCATTCAATATTGAGTCGAGCGAATTTCTCAAACTTCACGCTACTCAAGAACTCATTGAAGAAACTTAATGTAATCGGATTTTTCCTTCTTTATTTATTGAGGCCGAGTAAGTATTTACTATTCCTGCGTATAACTTCTTGTATTCACATCCTAATATTTATGATGAAACTGATTTATAATAGATAAAAACACAAAATTGAGTTTATATAAAAGAAATATAATTTTGAATTCAAAAAATATAAAAATTCTTCAATACTGATTAAGGCGAACAATTATAATTTACATCAATATTAAATCTTACTAATACACAAAATTAAAAAAGTTTTTCTAAATAGAAATATAATTATTATTCAGATAATTATGTAATAATTCTAATTTGTTACAGATTCTTTACGTGTTAAATCAAATGCAACAACTGATAAAATTCACATTTATATTTACCGCAATGTTAATTGACTTGATGATTATATGTTATTCTGGTCAAAGATTAATGGATGAAAGTCAGGACATATTTTATCGAGCGTAATATTTATTTTATACTTTAATATATACTTTAATGATTGTAAGAATAAATTTTGAACAAAAATAATAATATAGTGCTCCAAGCACATTCGAAAGATTTATTAAATGTAAACTTTTTTGTTCAATTTTAATTTAAAATACTTTACATAAAACATAATTTAAAAAATATATAAATAAGTAAAGAAAATTATATTTAGTGGAGGTCGATCTTGATTTAACTCTCAAATTCCATACTGATGCGAATTAGCACCAGAAAAATTTCAAACTGCTGTCATCTCTTGTCAAGTTAATGTACATCGCTCTTTCACTACGACAAATTTGTTTGAGAGAGAGGGGAGGAGGAAGAGAGGAAGGGGGAAGGGAGAGAGAGAGAGAGAGAGAGAGAGAGAGAGAGAGAGAGAGAGAGAGTTTAACTCCGCGCTTCATTTCATTATTAATCCTCTTGCCACCAGATATCAAAATTATTTATCTTTCCCCAGACATGGTTCACTAAGATCCGTGCAGCTTTCTCCTACACCTCAGTAAAATATTTCAATTTTTTTCTTGTATTAATCAAAATCTTTCCCTTTCTATCCATCTTTCATTTTGCTACTTCACGTTTCATCGCATCATTCAAGATTTTTCAAGTAGGACTGATGGAACCGTTGCGTGCGTGCGCGAGCGTTGCGACATATCTTATGTATACATTTTTAAAGTACGATTATATCTATATTGCTTCCTCATTTATTGCCTCTCTGTCTATATCCTGGTTTTTGTTGCTGGTAGACTTTGTAACAGTTTTACTGATGTCTAACCATGCAAGCAACTATAGTTTATTGTATCATATTTTACTCTGTTAACATCTATTTATAGAGCCTACTTATAGAGCCAATAAAGTAAATTAAATTATATTCGTAACAAAAGCAACGTTTAAGGACGTAATAGCCAAATTCGCACCAGTGTGGAAGTTATGGATGCGAAGTTGAGGTGTGGAATTTGAGGGTTAATAATTTTGTGTGTGAATTTTTATCATTTCAATTCAAATTACGTCGATTTGTTGGTTTTAAAACGCGGGGTCTACAAGTTGTGGTGGTCGTAGAATCTTAAAAAAAATTAACCAATCACAGTTAAATATAAGAAGAATTGATTAGTCATCTTCTACGATTCAAAACTGTAGGTTTATATTAGAGACTGAAGCTGGAACAATTTCTTTGTTAATTTTCGCTTAACAAAATATAATATAATGTAAAAATATAACTGAAATATAAAGTATTAACATAAGTTAATTATTTTACTCTTGTTAAATATATTTAAAAACAATTTTTTTTTCGAAAATTTAAAGTTAAAGGTGATTATGACTTACAGATATGCTGCAGAATGGTACAAATTTTCGCCTCGATTAAAATCTTTGCTGATGATGACCCTTTACAGAAGTAATATTCCATGTGGATTGAAGGCAGGTAACATGATTCCGTTATCCATCGCGACCTATGCTGCGGTAAGTAAAATGCGCAAAGATATATGAGACTTTTTATAACACACACATATATATTTACGTCCATTTTGTATTCGATTTAAGGTAGTACGAATTGCCATGTCTTACTTTGCTGCGTTTAAGTCATTCAGTGAATAATGTTACTCAATTTTCAATTAACTATTCACCATTTCTGTATATTTGATATGTTCTAATATTAATGTCATATAATAAATTGTATTTCAATGATACATTTAATTAAAAAAACGTTTTAATTTAATCTCACCTCCTCTTTTTATATTTTAGTAATTTTTTTCAGTTATTTCTTTGAATGACATAACTTCGAATTCATTCGATATTGCTTCATTTCTATTTTCTATTTTCAAAAAAACTCGATTGTATTCGAATGACTAAAATATTTAAAATCGACTGAGAAATATTTTAGAAGAATTTTCAATAAAGCTGAACAACAAGAAAGCATCTTGCGTTTACTTCGCTATTATTGTCACCCTCCATACAGAAAGATTACAGAAACATTGCAGAATGATGTCACTGAAACATTACAATATTGCATGGTGGTTGTAAAACGTTGCTGCAAGATACCAATAAGATGTTCGCTTTTTGTTATTATATATTGTAACAAAACGTTCCAGCAATATTGTAATGTAATGCATTTGGATAAATTTTTTACGAAGACTCTAAAATGAAAACTATTTTCTGTTACATATATAATAACACTAATCTCACTAATTTTAATTTTTCTACAAATCGCATTTCTAATGATACAAAAGCAATTTTTTATGATAAAAATATTCTAATAAATGTATTATTAATTCTAAAGGATAAATTTATTTTGTAAGAATAAAGCATGTAAGTGTGTGCCCCGAACTATAAATATTATCCACATTAACATAATAATATAGTCGCTTATAGCGCTTTCTCTTTGGATATACTGAGTGGAACCTCGCATTACACCAGTTACGTGTAAGTGTTGTATCACTGCTACACTACACAAGTGTACACACTATGGTACACTATTTCATACTATTATGTTTAATTCTGCTGCCAATTGATTTCCATTTTCAAATTTTTAATATCACACTGGCTCTACACCGTCTCTTTGAGATCGTGTAGTAAAACCCCACTTCATGCATAAAATTTGCACTATAGCCGGAAACACGTTACACTGAATAAGTTCGCCTACCACCAGCCAAGGAAACACGCTACATTGTCTAAGTTGCATTGATGGACGATAGTGCAGCCAAAAGAAAATGCTATTAGTAAGTTAATGTTATGGATTAAGTTAATCGTAGATTCTTTTTAATTCCGAAGCCACTCCGAGTTAACTGAAATCGATTAAAAAATGATGGTATGAAATTTATCAATAAAATCTGGTTTATTCTTGCGTTCACCATCAGACATAAATAATACATACGAGTACATTATCGATCACATAATTAATATTTCAATATTTCGTTTTCGTTTTCAGCTTAATTGCTTATTATCTTACAGTGCATTGATTACATCTAAATATTCTCGATATTTTACAATTTTTTGATTTCATATTTAAAATAAATATAAAACTTATAGCACATTCGATAGATTGCACTAGTGCGCACTAAGTGCGAATTTCTTCGGTGCCACGCATTCGGATTGTGCGCACTGTATTAGTGCATTCAAGTTGCTTGTAAATGAAAATTGACCCAGTATAGTGCTGAATTTGTAGTCGGATCAACCGAATGAATCGAATGAGTTCAAGAAGTGTTGCATTGACATTTTTATCAGTGCGGTTTGGTGTTCGAACAAACAAAACTAGTTAGGCAGCAAAAAAATTATAAAATGATGGATAAAGAAAGACTAAAATTATTTATTATAAATGATTTATTAGAAACAAGTAGTAGCGATGAAATAGATAGATAAATAGAAGATATGTATAATAAAAGAAGAAAGGCCAAAAGATAAAAATTATGGACATCGTGAATAAATACTCGGACAAAGAAGTATAAAATTATGTATGATAAAAAACAAATACTTTTGATAATGAAAATATTTATGTTTACTCATTAGTTGTAATATAGGTTATTAATTTCAAACTTAATTCTGCACTAGGTCACATCAATCTAATAGTTCTGCACTTGCATCGTGTCAAGACAGAATCGTGTCAGTGCATATGTATTGAATGTGCCATTAGCTAACGAAATGACCGTCAAATAAGATTAATAAATTTTTTATTTAAATATAAAAACTGATTATATTAATTATTATATCATAAAAAAGGCGGCATTAAACTAACCGTACTACATAAATATTGTAAAAAATTATATTTTTATATCATTATTGTAACAATTAAATTACAGTTTGCAATATTTCTGGAATATTACAGCATATTGTTAATTTACATTTCTGTAATATCTCTGCAATGTTCCATTACAATCTGTAACATTGTAACAACATTGCTTCAATCTTCTGTGCTATATAGGCCTCAATCATCTTCTCGTTTCAATATGTGCTACACTACAATTTATCAATACTTGTTACTATATATTACTATTTGTTACTATATACTATATACTATATTGTTACTGTATAATATTAATATAATATCAAAAGAAAAAACTTTTAAAGATGATTAAAGTGATGGTTTAGTATAGCATTATACGAATTAAATGATTATACGAACCAAATATCGATTTATCATCTCCAGCCTTGAAAAATGGACGATGTACTTTAAGAAAAGTGAACATTGCTATAGTAGTTTACATCCATTTTGTCAGAGGGCAATAGTGCGCGGCAGCATTTTGCGATTACAGGTTTTAGGCCGTCATATTCTCTCTCAGGTTTCTCTCTGGTAATAATAAAAAAAAAGTGTTGTGTGGAAATAATAAATAAAACATTGAATGTAATATATTTGATTATTTTTTTACAAATACACATTTTCGAAATTAGATTAAAGATGATGAAGACACATGAATTTTCAGTTTAGCAGTCGGTAATGCTCAAAGTTAATCGGCGAATAAAGTAACTGGCGTTGGTGAAACTGGCTGTAAACGTTTTATCGACAATTGTTGTTATCCATACAGTACAGAAAGATTGCAGAAACATTGCAGAATGATTTCACTGAAACATTATAATATTGCACGGTGATTGCTAAACATTGCTGAATCATTGTTGCAAAATTTGCTTTTTGTTATATTGCAACAAAACGTTCCAGCATGTAATATATTTGGATAAATTTTTTACGAAGACTTTAAAATGAAAACTATTTCTATACATATATCTCACTAACTTTAATTTTTCTACAAATCGCATTTCACGTGTTTTCCAAAAGCAATTTTTTATGATAAAACCGTAAAATATTCCAATAAATATATAAGTATTTGTTGGAACGCAGTTTAGTTTCATAATGTAATACCAGAATGCATTGCAGTCTTCCATTCTGTTCTTATAATTAGCGTATCAATAATAGATTTATAATTTTTATTTAGACTTAAATTATAATTTTTTTCAGAATTGGCGATTTTTGAAGGTTTTATTGCAAAATAAGTACAGCTACCAAATAACTTTTTGAAAAATTAGTAACATTGACATATTTTATCCTTGTACTTAGCTTTTTATTGTATGTCGAGCAGTGTAACATTATGTCATAGTTGGTACACTTTGTGTAAGACACAGTGTTACCTATGTACGTTATTGGAAAACACTAACATTCAGTCATTACAAGGAACAGCTTTTTCCGAGGAACAGCTATGATTGGCCAATTTCACAACTACGGATGTATTAAACCTGATTCAACGTGCCGTGTAATAGAGATCACTATCATACAAGAATAGTGATGTCCGATTTTTTTCGAATACATATGTATTCTTTTTTTTTTAAAGCGTCTGGTGATGTCTGACCGCCGAATTTTTAGCATGTTCGGGTGTATTCATTGTGAGAGAGAGAGAGAGAGAGAGAGAGAGAGAGAGAGAGAGAGAGAGAGAGCAAAATACATAGTAACTATATATAAATTATCTACTAATATAATAAAATAAAATTATCTACTATCTATTATCTACTATCTGTAATAAAATTTAAATTATTATATCATATTAAAGCCATTTTTTTTGTTAATACTAAATACAATAATATCCTACTTTTGTACTACTTTTCAATCAGAAATGTTCTAGATAAGATTTATTGTGGGATTCTCTAAATATTTTATCGACAATTATTGTTATCGTTAACTAGCAACAGCCAATAAGAACAGCGCTTTCTTCCATTGTTCTGGTATTGGTTGTCTGCTAATTAGTCGACAATCATCGATAAGACATTTAGACAATCCCGCTACTGGATATCAATCATAACTTTATCCCTAAGATGGAAAGTAAAAAGTGAAAATTTTAACCATTGAAATTAATGGAGAAATTTTTCACTTTTCACTTTTCATCCTAGGAAAAAAGTTTCATAATTGATATCTTAGTCATCCATGCCGAAAGCAAAATATTTAATTTTCGGTGTTTCAAACATTAGAGCACGCAAAAAATCGGAACGCAAAAAAAACGGATTCCGGGACAAAAGTTATTCCGTGGTTAATTTAATTCTGTACCTTCAACGTTTTCTAATCTTTCTCTCCCACAATTCGAAATCTACATATATAAACACTGTAAACATCTCGTTGATCCGTGAAAAGAAATGGAAATGGAATGAAATGTGTGATGAAGAGCGGGGCGGGAAAAGAGCGAATATCGCATTTCGCATGCGCGCGCACCGTTCATGGCGGCCGCGAGTTGCGGAGTCGTAGGGTCTGTTCGTATACGTGCAGACGACAGCGATCCTTTGGCCGATTTTTCGAGCCTGAGTCCTCGTCGCGTCGATTCACATCGAAGAAATCACGATAACCGCGAGCGCGACAGCAACGGTCGAGCTCGGCTTTCGTCGGGAGCGTACGGCAACCAACCGGCAAGACGAAGCTCAAAATGCCACTGGTGAGTCCATCCTCCATGCATTCTTTCTCTTTTTTTCTCTCTGCATCTTTCTCACTCACAAGCGCCTCTTTCTGGCTCATCTGGCTGTCATTCCCTCATTCGTGAAAAGTGTTTCGCTTGGCTGTCCCACTTGCGATCTGTTCCTCGAAAATCAATTCCCTGCGTCACGATTCTTGATCGAGGAGCGATTGTAGCTACGGAACGGAGCGAGGATGCGACTGCCCGTCCTTACGATTTCTGAGGTAGGAGCTAGGTGCGGTTTTTTGTGGTTAACTCCAAGTTCAAAGAGTGATGCGAGGATGAAAGGGAGTTTTCGAGAGACAAAGCGAGTTGAAACATCAGCGTTAAGCTTCATTTTATGTGTAGCAGAGTTTTAGAGAATTTGTCCGGAATGTAATCTAAAGAGATTAGTAATAACAGAAAAGTATGTCTATATACTACAAGTTAACGCTAATGTCAAACAAATGTTTCCAATATCAGGATGATATGCAATGCTTATTGATGTTGAGAGTGTGAGAATGTATTAAATATATGTTTTAATATTTGTAAAAAGAAGCAGATGAAAATAGCAGTCTTTCCAAGAAATTCAAAGATAGTTATGCGACGTTACATTTTATTTTATAGAGCCAGAGCTCGAAGAAAACATTATGTGTACTGCCTGAAGAGATTATTTACGAGAGAAAAGTACGTTATTGTACAAGAATCTGATATTAATATCCATAATAAATATTTGCTCTTTATTAACATGTATGAAAATTTATTATATTTTATATATA